GAAAAAAAAAAGACTACTAATTGCTCTTTTAATTTTGCTCTAACAGATGTTTTAAAAGTTTAGACACTGCTGATGTTTTTGAATTGCACACTGCTAGAAGGTAACTGGATAAAACACATTAGATGATTTCAAAAGATGAATCAGTACCTGATTCATTTGGCACATCATTAGTATCCAGAATAAATAATTTTCAAAGAATTTATACATGCATACATTCTTATACATGCATACATTCTTATTTACATATCCTCCATTCTTAGGAAAAGGAGCTTCTAAATCCAAGGATAAGGAGGTTCTGCTCATCTTACTAGTTATAATCATTTCTCCTCATGGAGTAACTGGGGCTTTCTGCTTTATTTGTGGAACTTTAGTTTGTAGGAAAGCATAAACATAGTGTTAAATCTTGTTGGATTCTGCTCTGGAGAGTGTTTCCAACATCCTTTTTTTCTGGTAAATTCTGGGACTGGCTCCACAAATCTTCAGTCTCTTGATAACTGTGTCTCTGGTCTATCATCCTCAGGCTGAATGAGAGGCCTCCCAGTCAGATCAGCAATGCCCACAGTTTGGGGAGGGTTGAATTCAATGTAGCAGACTCCGCCACCGGCTGGATGAATAGCAGGCAGTGAAGTGTTGTTTAAATGCCCTCAAAGGGCACATACGAGTTAATCATTGTGTCTATCTGATAAGCTCATCTAGGGCTTCTGCCTATGGCAGTGTCCTTGGACAACCAGCTATATTAGGTGAGATTTTTCAGTTCGTGAAGGGCCTCAGCCGAGTCGTAACATCATTTGGAATGAGTTTCCCTTGGTCAAGAAAAGCCTTGGCTAACATACCAATTTCTGTGCCCTGTAGCATGTTGTCCTGGAGCAGTCCCTGCTGGAGAGGTGCCTCAGCTTGAAGTGTTTGGTGATGTACAACAACACGGCACCCTTGCCTAAGCCCAGGGCTGGGGCCCCCATGATCATTGCATGCAGTAGCTGCGGAGATGCCCCTGCAACCATGGACAGAGGCCCAAGCCATGCCAACCGCAGGGTTTTGGTCTGACCTGTGCACTCACCTGATCCACAGCCAAGGTCCCAGATGGCAGAAAGCACTTTTTTTTTTTTTTTTTTTTTGGTTCGAGTTAACCAGCGCTTTCCTTTTTCTCTATAAAATGTGCTGGCTTGGAAACAATTCAAACATTCACCAATCATTAAATGGATAAACACATTTTGGTATATCCATACAATGGAATATTATTTAGCCGTAAAAAGAAAGGAAGTACTGATAAATGCTACAATATGGATGAACCCTAAAAACACTGTGCTCAAAGAGGCCAGACACATAGGGCCATCTTTGGTATGATTCAGTTTATATGAAACACTCAGAATAGGCAAATTTATAGGGGCAGAAAGCAGATTCATGGTTGCCAGAGCTGCCAGAGGAAGAATGGGGAGTGACTGCTAACGGGTGCGGGAGTTTCTTTTGGGACCTGCTAGCCATAGGGTCACTTTTTTTTTTATTGTAGTAAAATACACATAAAACTTACTGTGACATTTACTACATTCACAATGTTGTACCACAGTCACCACTATCTAGTTCCAGAACACTTTTATCACCCCAAATGTAAGCTCTTTTTTGATCTCTGAAGGTGAAAAATATCACTAGAATATATCTGAGGGAGGAATATTTTAGTTCATTGATCAGGTTTAGCACTCAGTATAACTTAGTCCGAGAGATTTTTCTTTTTTTTTTTTTAAAACCCAAAGAAGTCGTCGTCTTATTCGATTATTGCTTTCTCCATCTGTTTCTTCTGGAAATCCTACCTCACACTGCAGTTCCTGTATTTTCCTTCCCTTTCTTTTATCTTCTCACTAGTGGCTTCCTTTGCATTTTTGTTTTGCATCATGAGGCAACTTCCTGTTTGATCTTCTTCGGGTTGATTTTTAAGAGTATCCATTCCATTTTTCAATACAATTGAATGTCAAAAAACTGTAAAACCATATTTTTACATATCATGTTTTTAAGTTCGCTTCTTTTTCTTTTTTTTTTTTCTTGAGACAGAGTCTCACTCTGTAGTCCAGGCTAGAGTGCAGTGGCGCAATCTTGGCTCATTCACTACAACCTCCGCCTCCCAGTTCAAGTGGTTTTTCCCTCCTCAGCCTCCGGAGTGGCTTGGACTACAGGCGCGCCATCACCACTATTTCTTACATTAAATTTGCCTTACAGGAGCCATTCATTTTGGCTGTTTAGCTTGGTTTTCTGTTCCTCAAACTACTGGGTTTCTCTCTTTTTTTTTTTTTTTTTTTTTTTTTTTTGAGACAGGGTCTCACTCTGTCATGCAGCTGCAGTGCAGTGGCATGATTTCGGCTCACTGCAACCTCCGCCTCTTGGTTCAAACGATTTTCCCGCCTCAGCCTCCGGAGCAGCTGGGACTACAGGTGTGTGCCACCACGCCTGCGCTCGGCTAATTTTTGTATTTTTTTGGTAGAGATGGGATTTCACCGTGTTGACCAGGCTGGTACTGGGTTTAATTTTTTATATGATCTTTGCCCGATTCCATCAGCTGCCACTGGTCCCTTTAGCATTTGTGGAAGCCCGATTGTTGGACACTTTCTGGGCAGCAGAGAATTGACAGGTGGTGAAAACTATGATAGGAATTCTCCAATCAGCTGACATTGAGAGCCATGCTCAGAGCTAAACAGAAAGCAAGCAGAAGCAGTTTCACCAGTTACTGGGCTATGGCAGTTGGCTCACCTGGCTGGGCCACTGTCTTTGCCACAAGCTTAGCCAGGAGTCAGGCTACTTTCTAGGTTGCTGGGCTGTCCTTCCTCCCAGCTTTGTGAACAATGAGGATAGAAGGTATCCAGAGGCAAAACTGAGGGTATCCTCAGAAGCCCAAAGCCTAAGATGTGCTTAGCACAGACTAACTCCAAGTTTCACACTATGCTTTGCACCACCACATCTACTACCTACCTATATTTCAGCCATTCTTCTTTGTAGTTGAATCACCCCAGGAGGAAATTTAGAGTGCTAGAGAGTTATAGAAACATACATAAGCCATCATCTTCAAAAAACTTAATTAAGGTAATTATCTTTTTATAGTACATTGTCTGAAGATAATTATTTATATAATGGAAGTAAGCTGAAATCTTAGGAATATAAATCTTATTGATGAGTGAAGCCCCAACTATGGCCCAAAGAGATGGAAGAACTCATGCCAGAGTGTCTCTGCTGTATACCTAGGATTAGAGATTGGCCTTTTATTTCCTAACATAGGGATCTTTTCAATACCTAGACCCATGGCTACCTTTTAAAAATTCCATCAATATATTCACCTGCATAGCTGCTTCTCTTCCTGCTCCATCTAGTCCAATTCCTTTTCTGGATATTAGACTAAGTCTCATTTTTATTCCCTTCACCTGGCTTTTACTCCCTCTTGAAATTTATTCTGCTTCTTTCCTACTTGCCTTCCAAGATCGCTCTCTCTGTGCTCACAGTGAGGGGGTATGCAGGAAGGAGTACTAAAGTGTCCAGAAGGAGGAAAGCCTAGAAAAAGTAGAGACAGAGGAGGCTTGCCAAAATTCTGAAGCATCTCCAGGAGCCCTTTGCCTCAGTCTTTGAGTTCTTGTCATTAGCACCCCTCTTCTTTTCCCCTGGGTCAAATACCTTAGCACTGACTTGAATCTCTGACCCCTCTTTATACTTTTCTTCATTCTACTTTTCTTTCCTCCCTGCTTTCCTAGCACTCCTATCCCAGCGCTCTTCCCTTTCTTTAAAGCCTCTGAATCACAGCAAGGGAAGGAAAATGGAATTAGAGTAGTCCCTCTTATCCATGGTTTTGCTTTCTGTCATTCAAAAACATTAAATGGAAAATTCCAGAAATAATTCATACGTCTGAAATTGTATGCTGTTTTGAGTTGTGTGATGAAATCTCACATCATCCTGCTCCATCCTGCCTGGGACAGAAATCATCCCTTTGACCAGCATATCCATGCTGTTTAACCTACCTGCCTGTCTGTCACTTAAGTAAACGTCCTGGTTATGAAGTGGACTACCCTAGTACTGCAGTGCTCTTTTCAAGTAACCCTTATTTTACTTAATTATGGCCCCAAAATATAAGAGTAGTGATGCTGGCATATTGTTAAAGTTGTTCTATTTTACTATTGTTGTTAATTTTTTACTGTCTAGTTTAGAAATTAAACATCATAGGCATGTATGTATCATAGAAAAAAACACAGTATATATAGGATTCAGTACTATCTGCAGTTTCAGGCATTCACTGGGGGTCTTGGAACGTATCCTGCAGATAAGGGTGGGCTACTGCACAAACATCTGGACGTTCATTCACGTGCCACTAAGGATCATCACATAGCCAAAAGCATACCACACTCTGGAAGGCTCTGATCAACTTTTTCTGCTTCTCCTATCACAAAATAGAAAATACTTTATTAATAGCTTCAAAATGAATGGCTATAGCAGTCCCTCAGTTAGTATCTTAATTTATAGACTAAGGTTATATTTTCTAGTATAAAACATCATTTTGACAATGTGGGGAAGCAGCAAGGTGTAGTAGCTAAGAATTAGATTACTTGAGTTCCAATGCCAGCTCCTTCATATACTAGCTATGTGACCTCAGGCAAGTTACCTAACTATAAGTTGCCTTATCTGTGACGGACTTTAGCATATCATAAGTGCTTAAATAAAAGGAAACATTCATAATCATGTTACTATCACCACATGCAATCCTTATTCCTTGTCCTCGATCCATGAAAAACCATTATAAATGCCATTTTGTTTTAGAAAATGTTGATATAATATTTAATAAGCTTGCTGCTGCCCAGGCTAATATGCATCGCTCTAAGCCCCTCTTAAATTTTATTACTAGAAAATGTTCTAGTGGACAATGTCTTTAAGGTTAAATGAGGATACTTATAATCAGCCTTTTAAAAAAATTAAATTACAAATTGAGGATAAAACAAACAAAAAAAACCACACAACAGGAATCTGATATTTCTTACCAAGGCAATTTGAAGCATCAACTTGTTCTTTCAAAAAATCAACACACATTTTCTTCACAGGTTCAATCTGATATTGGTTTGCTGCATCCAACAAAGACTGAACATTGTTGCTATTCACGGAAATTCTGCAAATAAGTTAGAGGGAATATTAGTTACCCATGATTTTTTATTATTTAAATGTTACTGTAGAACGTATCCTAATAGCCCCTGAAATTAAACACAAAATTAAACTTTCAGTCCTTGAATCAGTATGGCATAGGATACTCAAACTCTTCCATCCTTGCGGTTTTTCATTTTGAAGAATTTGTAGTGCAACCATTTGTTACAACAATGCTTTGCCATGGCAGATACCAACATTACTTCTCTAAAATAAAAATAATCCTTCTTAACTCACCTAGCAGTATAAGCAAATTCCACAAGTTGTTCAATAATATCAGGTTCAGCATCTTTGAGTTCTACTTCAAAGGACTTTGATTCAAGCATGTTAGCTACAATGAAGAGAAGAAACATAAATGGCATCTGTAATACCACAAGTTTGACTGAGGAACCACGGCATTCCAGGCCATGTTAAATATGGAGAAAAATAACAGGACAGTTCTCTCTGGAAGAAAATACCCCAGCAAGCCCAACATTCCTACAGTAAATGCAAATTAATTCTCCACACAAGATGTGCCTTAAATTAAGCTAAGAAAACAGTGAATTAGTGTACTTTTTTTTAATTTAAAGACCATATTAACAGAAACATAAAACTAGATTTTGTTTTCTTCCCAAGCTCATAAAATAGTACTAAGTAGAGGAAGTAGGAGTTGGACCCAGTTCTCAACACCAAATCCAGGGTTCTTTCTAGCACAATATGCTATATCTATTTTTTTTTAAGTTTAACTTGCTGGCTAAAATATTATGAAATTTATCTGTTTCTTTGTCTTTCCACCTGAGGTTAAAAAGAAAGCGCTGGGCTTTTTTTTTGAGATAGAGTCTCGCTCTGACGCCCAGGTTGGAGCGCAGTGGCGCGATCTCGGCTCACTGCAACCTCCACCTCAACCCTGGGCTTTTAAGTTGACGCTATACCTCCATCTATAAAGGCATCAGGCCTTTATGTCTAATGAAAGGACATTTTTTCCTTTGGTTATCAGCTGGCTACTTTTTCAGTCTCTTCACTGTTCTGCAGCCTTAAGTTCTTAACTGCTTTAAAAATTAGAAAAATGACATATTCTCTTTTAGATTTTACTTCATTCTCATAGAAGAAATAATGGCATGTTTTACCTTAAGATACTTACTTGTGAACATTAAGTTAAAAAAATGACTTGCTGCAGCAAGAACAACACGATGAGCAGGTATCTTTCTTTCCTGGACCATGAGGATCACGTCACACAACGTTTTCTAATCAAAGAAAAAATACATAATATAAAAAGAGGCTCACTAGCCTAGCTTGGCAATACATATTAAAAAGGTGCTTGCCAAATGCTTTATCTCTTTTTTCTATTTAAAGCCAATCTTTTTTCAGCACAGAATTTCTTTGAAGACATGTTTAGGAAGGACTTACAGAGTTGCTGCCATGTAGTATGAAAATTTTGCACTGAGTTGTCCAACAGTCAAGAGGAAAGAAAACGTTCCTCATAATCAGAAACAAGTCTACTAACCCTTCCGAGAAGTCTTTTTTTTTTTTTTTTTTTCTGACACAGATTCTAAGACATTTCTCATGGTAAGCTTTTCTGGGGGAAATTAAATGACATCATGGCAGTGCCCCTGATAGTTTTTCAAACACAGCAATTAGTTTTTATATGATTTGTTTTCCATTATTTATCCTTGATGAAATCGAGAACACACACTGCATTTCCTAAGAAAGTAGCATTCACAGATCTAACTTGAAACAGAAACAGCTCAGAATACAGAGAGGAGATGAACTAAATGTCCTTTCAGCAATCTTTTCTTAAATAACACTTCTCTCAAATGTACTTCTGATAGAAGCTGGATAGCAGCCAGTTTTAAATTGTGATTTCTGACCAAGGTCAAAATAGTACCACTATAAGCTGCTTAAAGAAGGCAGCTCTGAGTAAATACTTAATTCAAATGTGGGGAAAATGGAATAATAAAGAAAAAAATTTAAGGCTTACTCAAACACTTATAAATGATTATCAAGAAAAATAAATGTCCTTTTTGCCAAATCCAATCTTAATTTCTTAACGAAGTTAAAGATAAAATATAGAGGTTAGGCTTACAGAAAACTTGGTGCATACAATGTGTTAAACACTGTCCTAGGCACTGGGAATATGAGACAAATAACATATTCAGAGTAAAAAAAAAATCGCTTACAAATCTAAGATTGGCTTCATAGCTCAGAGGATTTGCATTTTGCAAATTTTAAGTATTTTATTAAAACTGTTAATATAGTTTCTGATAGATAAATCCCTGTTATTTCTTACTGTATTATTTTGTGAAGATAAATCAAAATAAATAATAATGATGTTTATAATGAGAGAGAAAATAAGCCTCAAATAGCAGGCTAGGAAATGAACAAAATTTCACTTTTACCACTTATTTGAAGATTTTCAAATAAGGCCTACTACTGACTATTGCTAAAAACTTATATACAGGTTAATAGCTAAAGCTGTTTTTATTCTCATAGTGTCTTGAAGTTTTAAATTTTATTTCTTTTCATTTGGGGAGGGAATACAGAGGCAGATGTCTTAGGTGATTTTGCTACATACTACACCAAAAAATACCAAGTAGCAGAACCAAGTTAACTATTTGGTTACCACCAAAAAACAAGTGATCAATTTGCCTTGGAGGTCGAGGGAGGGAGAGAAGGAGAGGGAGAAAGGGGTGGGGAGTGAAGAATAAAGATGATAAAGCATCAAGCAAATCAGATTACATCAGATCATCAGGGAGAAATCTATGGCTAGTGATGGAACTTCTGTGAAACATAGGGTTAAACCAAAATACAGCAAAAACATCTCCAAGGCATACTCAACAACAGAGTTTAAAAGTAGAATGACTTTCTAGGCACTGAAGGAGGTTGAAGAAATGTAGATCATTGTAGAGCAACTGAGTTTTAGTCTAAGATTAATGGCCAGCTGGATATTAATGGTTTGAGGGGTGGGAAGAATAAGTCGGAAGAGTCTTTTGTATCCAAATGGTACATTTATTTGCCTGTACTACAATAGACTGATAATTTCCAATAAGAGATGGGATTGCTGGGCGCGGTGGCTCATGCCTGTAATCCCAGCACCTTGGGAGGCTGAGGCGGGTGGATCACAAGGTCAGGAGATCGAGACCATCCTGGCTAACACAGTGAAATCCCGCCTCTACTAAAAATGCAAAAAATTAGCCGGGCATGGTGGTGGGCGCCTGTAGTCCCAGCTACTCGGGAGACTGAGGTAGGAGAATGGCGTGAACCCAGGAGGTGGAGCTTGCAGTGAGCAGAGATCGAGCCACTGCACTCCAGCCTGGGTGACAGAGAGAGACTCTGTCTCAAAAAATAAATAAATAAATAAATAAAAAAAAAGAGATGGGACTGACCTATAGTGAAAGGCCCCTCCTGTTATCAATAAGCGAAAGAAAGGTATATCCACAAACAAGAAATGGGAGCTGGGTGTGGTTGCTCACACCTGCAATCCTAGCATTTTGGGAGGCCAAGGCAGGTGGATTGCTTAAGCCTAGGAATTCGAGACCAGCCTGGGCAACATGATGAAACTCTATCTCTGTAAAAAAAAAAAAAATGCAAAAATTAGCCAGGCATAGTGGTGTGTGCCTATAGTCCCAGTGACTGGGGGTGGGGGTGGTGCTGAGGTAAGAGGATCACTTGAGCCCCGGAGGTGGAGGCTGCAGTGAGTTGTGATTGCATCACTGTACTCCAGTGATATTATAACAAAGAGACATCTGCACCCCCATGTTTACTGCAGCACTATGCACAACAGCCAAGATACAGACTCAACCTAGGTGTCCAATGATAGATGAATTGATAAAGAAAATGTGGTATATATACACCATGGAATACTATTCAGCCATAGCAAAGAATGAAATCCTGTCTTTCACGGCAATGTGGATGGAAATGGAAGACATTATGTTAGTTGAAATAAACTAGGAACAGAAAGTTAAATGCTACATGTTCTCACTCATATGTGTATATCCAAGTAAAAAGCAGAAAAGAAGACACTAGAGGCTGGAAAGGGTAGAGGGAAGGCGGTGGGGGAAAGGAGGGATAGAGAGGTTTGTTAAAGGACATAAAATTACAGTTAGATGGGAGGAAAAAGTTCTAGTATTCTATATCACTGTAGGATGACTATAGTTAACAGTAATAGATTCAGGCTGGGAGCAGTGGGTTACACCTGTAATCCCAGCACTTTGGTAGGCTAAGGCAGAATTGCTTGAAGCCAGGAGCTCAAGGCCAGCCTAGGCAACATAGTGAGACCCTGACTCTACTAAAAATAAAAAATTAGCCAGGTATGGTGGCACATGCCTGTAGTCCCAGCTACTTGGGAGGTTGAAATGGGAAGATCACTTGAGCCCAGTAGTTTGAGGTTGCACTGAGCATGATCATGCCACTGCACTCCAGCCTGGGTGACAGAGCAAGACCCTGTCTCTAATAAAATAATAAAAAATCAACAGCAGACATCACATGTAATGGGAAACATCAGACATGTTCTCATTTCAATCTTGAAACAAGGTATATGGGGCTGGGTGTGGTGACTCATGCCTGTAATCCCAAGCACTTTGGGAGGCTGAGGTGGGCAGATGGCTTGATCTCAGGAGTTCAAGGTCAGCCTGGGCAACATGGTAAAACCCATCTCTACCAAAAATACAAAAATGTAGCCAGGTGTGGTGGCACGCATTTGTGGTCCCAGCTACTTGGGAGGCGGAGGTGGGAGGATCGCTTGAGCCCAGGGGCGAAAGGCTTCCATGAGCTGAGATTGTGCCATGGCACTCCAGCCGGGGTGAGAGAGTGAGACTCAGTCAAAAATAAAATAAAATAAATAAAATAATAATAAAATAAAACAAACTACGTATACAAATCCTTGTCATTACTATTATTCAACCTTGCTCTGGAAATCTTAGCCAAATTAGTAAGAAGATAAAGATAAATCAATTTACACTTATAGAAATAACAAGAAAAGTCAGTAAAATGGCCAGACACAAATAAGATAAATATGGAAATGCAATTAACTATCTTGTATGAGAAATAAGCCGTAAAGAAACACAAATGAGAAAAAAATCCCAAGGCACAGAAGCAACAAAATAATTAAATATTGAGAAACAAAAAAAAAATGTGAGGGATCTTCATTAAGTGGCAATTTGATATATGATAAAGATACCATTTCAAAAATGTAGTGGGAAGGTGGAGAACAGGACATGTTTAGGGCAGTGAAACTATTCTGTAGGATCTTGTAATGGTGGATATGTGTCATTATACGTTTGTCAAAACCTGTAACATGTACAACACAGAGTGAACCCTAATGTAAACTATGAATGTTAATAATATGTAACAACATTGGGGGTTGGGCACAGTGGCTCACCCCTGTAATCCCAGCACTTTGGGAGGCCGAGACGGATGGATCACTTGAGGCCAGGAGTTTGAGACCAGCCTGGCCAACATGGCGAAACCCTGTCTCTACTAAAAATACAAAAACTAGCTGGACATGGTGGTGCCCGCCTGCAATCCCAGCTACTCAGGAGGCTGAGGCATGAGAATCACTTGAACCCAGGAGGCAGAGGTTGCAGTGAGCAGAGATCTTGCCACTACATTCCAGCCTAGACAACAGAGCGAGATTCTGTCTCAAAAAAAAAAAAAAAAAAAGTAACAATATTGACTCATCAATTGTAACAAACATACCACATGAATGCAACATGTTAATGATAAGGGTAACTGTAGAGAAGGAGGTGAGGGAATAAATGTAAATACTGCACTTTCTGCTCAATTTTTCTTTTTCTTTTTTGTGACAGGGTCTTCTCTATCATCCAAGCTGGAGTGCAGTGATGCAATCTCGGCTAACTGCAGCCTCGAACTCCTGGGCTCAAGTGATCCTCACCCCCTGTCCTCCCAAGTAGCTGGGACCACAGGCACGTGCCACCATGCCTGGCTAATTTTTTATCTTTTGTAGAGACGAGGTCTCACTGTGTTGCCCAGGCTGGTTTCCAACTCCCGGATTAAAGTGATCTCACTACCTTGGCCTCTCAAAGTATAGGGATTACAGGTCCAAGCTACCTCACCTGGCTCAAATTTTCTATGAAGTTAAAACTGCTCTTAAAAAAAAAAGTCTATTAAACAATGTGGTAAGAGATCAGATAATCAAAATTGATATTGAGATAACTTAATCATTTAGGGAACCATTAGATTCCTCACTCATAATATACTCCCTCTTCCCCTGGGAAGGTAAGTACTA